GGGGTCGATACATGTTGGGCTGGGATGGTACGACTTCATTCTTAGGATGGACAGTGGGGCAGAACCATATGTAAATTGCAATACGAAAAAGAACTGATTACCCATGGTGCGAGAATTTGCTTTTTGATTTCAAGAAAAGATAGTACCCATGTGGCGCATTGGTGCAACAAACTGCAAAACAATGCAAAATAACATAACGCAGCGCAAAGCAATGCAACGCAACACAAAGAAATGCAATGTGAAGCGTTACATAGCAACACAAAACAATGAGACGCTATGCCAATGCAGAACGACGGAACACAATGCAAAGCAACGCAAAGCAATGCAAAACAATGGATAGCAATGCCAACACATCGATGCAAATCAATGCAAATAAACGCATATCAGCACAACGAAATGCAAAACAATTGGAAGTAACACAAGTCAGTTCAAAGCAATGTAATGAAGCAGGGCAAGGCAAAGCAATACAAACCACGCAGAACAACGCAAAACAACGCAAGGCAATGCAAAATTCGCCGGCCCAACGGGCCAGAGGCGTGCTAAGATCTACGGCAACTGGTTAACAATATTTCTAGTTCGCGCGCGAGGAGCGGCCCCTGGGGGTCCCCCGGCGAGAAGTACCCCGACCGCAGCCCGACCACTGCTACCCAGAGATGGTTTTCCTCCTGGGCGTGGCTTCTCAGGCCCCCCAGAGCGCGCCAAGAGTGCCCCAAGAGGCCCCCAAGACTGCCCAAAGGGCCCCCGAGACGCCCAAAGAGCGCTCCAAGACGCCGATGATGACCCCAAGACGGCCCAAGAGGCCTCCAAGTGGCCTCCAAGAGGCCTCACAAGAGGGCCCTTTTCGGCTATCCGATGCTCAAAGACGGCCCAAGAGGCCCCCAAGAGCGCCCCAAGACGGGCCAAGAGGCTCCCAAGAGGGCCCCAAGAGGGCCCAAGAGGGCTCCGAGACGGCCCCAGAGGCGCCCAAGACGGCCCAAGACGGCCCCAAGACGGCCCCAAGAGGGGCCCAAGAGGCGGACCACGAACCGAAACCTCGAGCCTTCCGCCCCAAGAGGGCCCCAGGAGGCCCCGGGAGGCCCCCAAGAGGCCCCAAGATGTCGCCAAGAGGCCCCCAAGAGGCCCCAGGAGGCCCCCAGGAGGCCCCCCAGAAGGCTTCAAAAATGCCTCCCAGGCGCCCCCGAACGGCTTCTCAAAAGACCCCAAGAGGCCTCCCAAAGAAGCATCTTGACGACGACCCTGGTTGGCCCCAAGAGCAGCACAAGATGCCAACGAGAGGCTTCCTCCTCCGCCCCTTCCTCTTCCTCCTCCTCCTCCTCCTCCTCCTCCTCCTCCTTCTCCTTCTCCTACTTATCATCATCATCCTCCTCTCCTTCTCATCATCTCCTCCTCCTCCCCTCCCCTTCCCCATCCTCATCTTCTTCCTCCTCGGCGGCGCCACAATGGCCCCGGGCCCACGGCGAAGCAATAGCGATCATGCAAAATGGGCCGGCAGAGTGAGCGAAGCGATTGAATAATACAGCAGCAACAGGCGGTCACAAGCCGGCCGGACTGACACCGGGGCCCAGCGCAAGTGGCGGCGACGGACGGCGGCGATGGGCGGCCACAACCGGGACGGACCGACACCGGGGCTCACCGTAGAGCAGAAGCGAGAACCCGTAAGTGCAAGCACTGCGTGAGATAAGTTAACACGTCCACCAGGCCTGGTATTGACCCGACCCCTCATCCCAGCCGAGTGATCATGTGCGGTGCACACGTGTTGATGTAAGGTGTGCTTTCTCGAAAAATCCTTCTGGTTGAAAGAAACCAGCTATGCGGGGCACATGCGCGCGCCGCCGCGCGCGCATGTCAAACCCGTGTTTTAAGAACAGATGCTTCCAAATACATTCCAGCTACAGCTATCCAACAGACATCTAACAATGTCAGTTCAGAACAATTGCCTGATTTCTGCGTGCGCAGAAGAAGCACAATATAACAATAACGCTTGTGCCATTTTGTCAAATCAAAGCATGCAAGTCACACGCGCGTGCATGCAGTTCTGGTTCAGGCGCCCCCCAACTGTTGCAAATAACACCATGCAGGCTATACCCCAGCGCCTCCGCGCGCGCAAATCGAAATCTGTCCAAAACCATTGGTTCTCTGGCTCTTGCAACACAAACATGAAAGCCAAATTGCTTATCAAAAGCGTATGCACGAGAACACAGAATTCTGCGAACGCGACTTCCTCAGGATCCTCATCATCACAATCGTTATCATAGACGCCAGCATTCTCTTTGCCATCGTCATCGTTGTCGCCAGCACGATCTTCGCTACCATCGTCGTCATTCACGAGCATCGCCAGCACGGTCATCGCCAGGACGATCACCCCCACCGTCATCATCGTCATCGTCGAAGTCGTCGCCCTCGTCGTATGAATATTTGCGCACATCATCGTCACCCTCACCAACACCATCGTCATCATGATTCCCAACGTCATCCTGCCACCATCATTATCAACACCATCCGCTTCATCATAATCGTCGGAATCGACAGCGTCACCACTGCCGCCATGAACATCACCATCAGCACCACAACCACCATCATCATCATCATCATCATCATCATCATCATCATCATCATCATCATCATCATCGTCATCGTCATCGTCGCTGTCGCCGCCAATTCGGCTGTTGCCAACAAGATGCGGGCGGGTGGGTGGGATGTCTGCACGAACGTCAGAAATGGTCACGCGCAGGCGCAGTCAACTTTAGCTGTACAGCATCGATAGCATTGCGCCGCGTAGCGCACATGGAGAATGCCATAACCCACTGATGGGGCTCCATGCTGAGAAACGCTGCCGATATACATACGCACATATGCGACACACATGCAAAACATATGCATGCCATTCAATCTCTGCATACACACATTCCTACACCAATTGACAACACACACACACACGCTACAAGACCTACGTGCACGTAGTGTACGTACGCCAGAGTGGGAAGGTCGAGCGGTCATTCATTGTCCCTGGGCGCGTGTCTGAAGTCAGGCTCCGCGGTGCCGATTGTTGTTGCGCTGTTGAGCTCTCATATCTAAGGAACAATTATTGCTGCGACCCCCGGTGCCCATTGCGTTTTTAAGTTGAAGTGCTCCTTCCGGGGCTCGCACCCCGTTTTTTACAAGGAAAGATCTTGGGGCTAAGAATACGTTGTTGGCCCCAGGTGTGCAACAACAGCGCCTCCCGGTAGAGACCCCCTCGCCATTTATTCCAAAATCACGCTCTCGAGCAGGAAATCCTCACAATGTATGCAGGAATCGCGCTCTCGCGTGGGACTTCTCGCAATTTATTCGGAGCGCCCTCGACACTCAGGAATCACGCTCTCGCTCAAGCCTTTCTTACGATTCATTTGGGAATCGCGCTATCGCTCGAGATCTCCTCGCGATTCATGCAGGACTCACGCTTCAGCAACCCGCCTGCCCGACCTGGCCGCCTGGGCCCGCCTTCCCGACCCGCCCGTCAGGGTCTACCCGCCCGATCTGGCCGTCTGGTTCTACCACCTGCTTTCTGCTCCTAGACCCCTCCTGGTACTTCCTCTCGTGCTCCATCATCCTCCTTCCTCCTTGCCCCTTCCCTCCATCCGTCCTCTCTTCCCCTGCTTTAGGGGCTGCACGAAATACACGTTGCAGGTAAGAAAGATGTACCCCCAAGGGGGGGGTACGATCGAAGACGAAAAGGGCGGGTATCGAGGGCTTTGGATACACGTTTTGAATAGCACGCGAGCAGATAAGAGCGAACAATGTATTAAACTTATTGTTGTTGTTACTGCTGATGTCGCCGTCCTCGCCCGCGACCCGCCCGCGACCCACCCTGCGACATACCTCGCGACCCACCCGCGACACACCCACATCGTTTTGACAAGACAAAAAAATCGGCGCCTGCGGTGGGCTGCTTATATAATGAAAAAATCGGCGCCTGCGGCGAGTTTCTTCAGATCCTCGCAGGCTGCCGACGACTCCGCCGCCCTTCACTGTTGTCCGTCACTGCGGGGTGCTACGTATGTATATATAATGTATCTGTATACGTATCTACATATATAGATATATGTATCATAAAGGAGCGAGAGAGAGAGAGAGAGAGAGAGAAAGAGAGAGAGTGAGAGAACAACAAACGCACATCGGGATTACTCTCACCAATGCCTTCATCCGCGTGCCCCCCCTCCCCAGTATCACTATATTGCTACGTCTCCCCCCTCCAACTCCTCTTCCTCCTCCGCCTACTCGTGCCTTTCCTGCGCTCCCTCTCTCCTCTTACTGCAATCCCTCCTCCTCCTCCTCCTCCTCCTATCCCTCCTCGCCCTCCCAGTCGTCCTCCTCCTCCTCCTCCTCATCGCCCTCCTCGTCCTCTTGCTCCTCCTCCTCCTCATGCTCCTCCTCATGATGATGATGATGATGATGATGATCATCATCATCATCATCATCATCATCATCATCATCATCATCATCATCATCATCATCATCATCATCAGCATCATCATCAGCATCATCATCATCATCATCATCATCATCATCATCATCATCATCATCATCATCATCATCATCATCATCATCATCATCATCATCATCATCATCATCATCATCATCATCATCATCATCATCATCATCATCATCAGCAGCAGCAGCATCAGCATCATCATCACAGCAGCAGCAGCATCATCACACCATCATCATCATCATCATCATCAGCAGCAGCATCATCATCATCATCATAACATCATCATCATCATCATCATCATCATCAGCAGCAGCAGCAGCATCATCATCATCATCACCATCACCATCACCATCACCATCATCATCATCATCATCATCATCATCATCATCCTCATCCTCATCCTCATCCTCATCCTCATCCTCATCCTCATCCTCATCCTCATCCTCATCCTTATCCTTATCCTTATCCTCATCCTCGTCGTCCTCCTCCTCCTTGCCCTCCTCGCCCTCCTTGCCCTCCTCCTGCTCTCCTCCAGCGTGGACGCCGGGCTCGCAAACGCCTCCAGCTCGGCAGCGGTGAGGCCCGTTAGCGGCTTGGCCGCCTCCTCGAGCTTCTGCGCGCTGGCCTCGGGCGGAAAGAGCAAGGAGGGCCGGATGGAGGAGGGTGGGGAGGAGAGGACGAGAGGGAGGAGGAGGATCAGGAGGGGAGAAGTAATGCAAGGGGGAGGAAGGAGTAGGAGGAAGGCGAAGAGGAGGAGGAGGAGGAGCAGGAGGAGGGGTGGAGAGGGGGAAGAGGAGGAGGGAACGCATGAGGAGGAAGAGGACGATGAACGCTTCCGAGAGGAGTGGAACGTGCAAAAAAAACGAACTCGAGCGGGCAGGAGGACATTCTCTTCCTCACCTGCCGTCCTGGCCCGCTAGTCCTGCTCCACTCCGCCGACCCTGTGGGCGAGTGTGAGGGGGAGTTCTGGCGCCCGGGCCGGTCGTCTGGGGGTCGTGATGAGGGCCGTTTCGGGATTCCCTTTGTGCCTGTTGTTTTGGGACACTCCTTTTCTCGTAGTCGATAGCCGAGTGTGTGCAGGAGCGTTTGGGAAAGGCCCCTTCGTGCCATTTGGAACCCTCGTCGACCCTCTGCTTGACACTCTTCGGCCGCCTCGGAGAGTCTTCCAGCTACCTTCGGCCGTTCTCCCGGCCTTTCAGGCCCAGCTCGGCTCGTTTGGCCTCCTTCTTGGCCCGTCTTGGGCGAGTTCACGGGGTCACCTGGGGCCTTCTGAGGATCCAAAACTGACTCGTGTCACTCCTTTCAACCTCTCTGTATCCATTTTCGGTGCCGTCCCCAGTTGTCGATCCTTTTCGACGTCTCGTTGGGTCGTTTTCGAAGCCTGTTGGAGCTCTCTTGGGGCTCTTTCGGGGTGCTCTTGGTTAGTTCTCTGTGGTTCTCTGGGGGCTACCTCGTTCCCCCGCCAGGCCTCCTCGACTCGTGATACTCCCTGTCGACTCTCCATCTCCACGGCTCTTCCCTCCTCTCCTCCTCCTCCCACCCTCCCTCTTCCTTCCCCTCTCCCCTCCCCCTCCCCCTCCTCCTCCTCCTCTTCCTCCTCCTCCTCCTCCTCCTCCTCCTCCTCCTCCTCCTCGTTTTCCTCCTCCTCCTCCTCCTCCTCCTCCTGCTTGGACCCCTCTTCTTTGTTTGTCTTCTTCTGGGCTTCCCTGGGAGTTCTCCTCGCCACGGCTGGAGTTTCCTTCCATCTCTGTTCCAAACGCAGCCTGCTGATGTTTGACGAGACCGCAGCGCAAGAGTAGATAGGGAGGAGGAGGCGACGGAGGAGAAGGAGGAGGAGGAGGAAAAGGGCGACGATGACGACGAGGCGGAGGAGGAGGTGGAGGAGGAGCAAGGAAAGGGCGTCCTCCATTGGGTCCACCTTTGCCTTCGCAACGTCCATCACAGCGTCGGCCTGCTTCTTTTCCTTCGCCACGACGTGTGCGTTCTTTTCCTCGGCGGGGAGGGCGAGGAGGCGGAGAGGGAGGAGGACGAGAAGGAGGAGGACGTCGGCCGAGGACGAAGAGAAGGAACACTTAATAGCGGCAAACATTGAAATAGTAAACGGAAGGGCGCAAGGAGAAGGAGGAGGAGAAGGAGGAGGAGGAGGTTAAGGAGGAAGAGACCAGATCACCAAACAAGAGACGAGGCGGGCGGACAAGAGCACGGAACGAAACGAGGGCAAACCTGCCATTGTCCTCTGATGGCAGCGCTGGGCGCGACAGAGATGAGCGCGCGGATGTGTGAGCTTTGCAGGCTGATGGCCCGCGCCCGACCGTGCACACCCTCGCAAACAAATCCTCGCGCTCCCGAGCGGCCCTTCGTTTTAGGGGCGCCTCGAGTCGACCCATGAGGGAAACCGGGAGGCGCCCCCCCCCCCAGCCCCCCTTTCTGGGAAGGCCGAAAGCTGCAGGCTGCGGGCAGAAAATCCTCGGGACAAAGCTCCCCTGGGACTCCGTTCCGTGGACGAGAGGCGAAGGCGAGGGCGACGACTCCTGTTCGTGGAGGAGAGGCAAGGGCGTGGCGAGGGCGAGGCGAGAGAGGGCGAGGACTTCTGCTCGTGGCGGAAAAGCGAGGGCGTGGCGAGGGCGAGGGCGAGGCGACGGCGAGGACTCCTGCTCGTGGAAGAAAAGCGAGGAAGTGGCGAGGGCGAGGGCGAGAGCGAGGCGATGACTCCTCCTCGTGGAGGAGAAACGAGGGCGTGGCAAGGGCGAGAACTCTTGCTCGAGGAGGAGATGCGTGGGCGTGGCGAGGGCGAGGTGGAGACTCCTGCTCGTGGAGGACAAGCGAGGAAGTGGCGAGGGCGAAGCGAAGCGGGGGTGAAGCGAGGACCCCTCCTCGTGGAGAAGGGAGGGCGAGGCGAGGGCGAGGACTCCTGCTCGTGGAGGAAAAGCGAAAAAAAAGCGAGGGCGAGGCGACGGCGGGGGCGAGCCGAAGACTCCTCCCTCCTCGTGGAAGAGAAGCGAGGGCGTGGCGATGGCGAAACGAGGCGAGGGCGAGGGCGAGGCGAGGACTTCTGCTCGTGGAGGAGAGGCAAGGGCGTGGCGAGGGCGAGGCGACGTCGAGGACTCCTGCTCGTGGAGGAAAAGCGAGGAAGTGGCGAGGGCGAGAGCGAGGCGACGGCGATGACTCCTCCTCGTGGAGGAGAAGCGAGGGCGTGGCGAGGGCGAAGCGAGGCGAGGGCGAGGCGAGGACTCCTACTCGTGGAGGAGAAGCGAGGGCGTGGCGAGGGCGAGGCGACGGCGGGGGCCAGGCGAGGACTCCGTGGAGGAGAAGCGAAGGCGTGGCGAGGGCGAGGCGAAGGCGAGGACGAGGGCGAGAGCGAGGACCCCTGCTCGTGGAGGAAAAGCGAAGAAGTGGCGAGGGCGAGGCGAGGGCGAGGGCGAGGACGAGGCGAGGACTCCTCCTCGTGGAGGAGAAGCGAGGAAGTGGCGAGGGCGAGGGCGAGGCGCCGTTCAGTCGTTTTGGGGGGCGGCCGTATACGGCAGCTGCTGGGCGGTGGCACCGGAGCGCCCGAAACACAATCATGTATGATCATGCCTGCTGGCAGCCGAATGCAACCAGCCTTCTTTCAGCCAGCCTCCTGCGAGGCGTCCTCCTCTTCCCTGCTCCTCCTCTTCCTACCTCTCCTTCTGCTCCCTCTTCCTCCTCCCTCCTCCTCCCTCCTGCTCCTCCTCCTCCCTCCTCCTCCTCCTCCTCCTCCTCCTCCTCCTCCTCCTCCTCCTCCTCCTCCTCCTCCTCCTCCTCCTCCTCCTCCTACTCCTGCTCCTCCTCCTCCCTCCTCCTCCTCCCCTCCTCCTCCTCCTCCTCCTCCTCCTACTACTACGGCTCCACCTCCCTCCTCCTCCTCCTCCTCCTCCACCTCCTCCTCCTCCTCCTCCTCCTCCTCCTCCTCCTCCTCCTCCTCCTGCGGCTCCTCCTCCTCCCCTCCTACTCCTCCTCCTCCTCCTCCACCTCCTCCTCCTCCTCCATCATCCGTCCTGCGCTCGCCTTCCGTTCCTCCTCCTCCTCCTCCTCCTCCTCCTCCTCCTCATCATCATCATCATCATCATCATCATCATCATCATCACCATCACCATCACCATCACCATCACCATCACCATCATCATCATCATCATCACCATCATCATCATCATCATCATCATCATCATCATCATCATCATCATCATCATCATCATCATCATCATCATCATCATCATCATCATCATCATCATCATCATCATCATCATCATCATCATCATCATCATCCCCGTCCTCCCCGTCATCATCTGCCGCCCCGCACCTCGGCCTCCTTCTTCAGGAACGCCGTCTTGGCGGCGGCGAGCTTCTTCTTCAGGGCGTCGAAGTCCACTCGCGCCTTGGAGACCTTCTGCCAGGGCTTCGGCTGCGCCGACGACGACGACCGCACCACCGCCACCTACTTCTACGAAAACGGCGCCCATGCCCGTCAGGACCCGCTCCAGCGCGGTGCGGTGAATAGCTGTTCGGCTCCGAGGGCCAGGAAACTATGCACCGTACCCTTCCTGGGTCGAGGATCGACGACGCCTCGCGAGGCTCCAGCGCGTCACGTACGGTGCACGCACGTCGTCCGCGGCGCTCCTCCTCCTCCTCCTCCTCCTCCTCCTCCTCCTCCTCCTCCTCCTCCTCCTCCTCCTCCTCCTCCTCCTCTCCTCGCTCACCCGTCCTTCCTGCCCCATCCGCGCCCCGCATTCCACCTCCTCCCGTTCCCCCCCATACCCTGCCCCCCCCCCTCCCCCCCCTCTCTTCCCTGTACACAATGACACCATCGGAGTACTGCTCTAGTTACTCTCCTCCTTCCCCCAAGACGTGCTGAGAGTAGCACGCTCCCCAACGCGCAGAACGTTCTGCCCACAAGGACGTGGCGGCATGTTTGTTTGTTCCACGACGCTGTTGTTCGATCCGAACGTCCCCGACCCTTCCAAAATGGCGCTCCCGCTACAGCGTGGACCTCATTGTCGGATAGGCGCATTGCTCCAGGCGTTCGGAATGGCGTTCTTTCCCCAGCGCGTGCCACTATTATGTATCTGGGTGCTTCCTCATCGTTGTCGCCCCCTCCTCTCCCTTCCTCCGCTTTCCCCTGGTCCTCCCGCTCCGTCCGCTCGAACTCCTGCTGCTGCTGTACGTAATGTTCCTCGTTCTTCCGCGTCCTTCTTCTTTTCCTCCTGCTCATCCGCCACCTCCTCCTCCGATGCACGGAGCTCCCTGTTTCGATTGCGCATAACACGATAAGGGACATGTTGGAGCTTCAGCCCCGCTACGACACCCGTTGGCGAATAGAGAAAACCCAGCGCACTGGGAAGGGAACAGCGGGAGAAGCAACTGGCAGACGCGGTGCGAACGCACTTGCCTTGCACTCCCCGTTCTCTCTTTCGCTATCCCTCCCTTTCTCCCTCTCCATCTCCTCTCTCCGCCGCCTTCCCCTCTTCCCCGTATCTCCCCCCCAACCCTGTCGCAGGCGCTGGGTCAAGCCTCCAACTCACAGGATTTACGGGCGATCCCCAGAGCTTGCCGCTGAGCAACCCCAGTGTGTTATACCACGTCCGTGTGGAGTCAACATTGGTATATTTATTCGGGTGGCCACTTCCCTGCTGCTGGTCAAAATCATGCTCGTCATAAAAAGAGGGCTCGAACACATTCATGGTTGTGTATTGGGTTGCATCCTGGATCCATGTAACCCTGAGCCCACAAACAAACATATTCAACTAGTGGCTTGCTGTCTGAACTCTGATAACTAGGAGCGTATGTTGTGTATGCTGCTGACTGTACGGTTCAATATTGCCAACCGGGGTGTCAGTGTTGGTCTGGGACAGCCCCCAGAGACGCTTACAACAGTTATAGCACGTTTTCGGACCAAGGCCACCCAATCTAGCTTACCAAGGGCTAGCAGCAACTGCAATACCCAGGCCCAGAATTACGTAATCGCGCGTGCCATGTCTCACGAGCTCGCTCCCCAATCCCCTCATGTGCTCTCTCACGCACGCCGTGCCCAAGGCAAAAGCATCACCACAAGAGAACCAATCCGTCGGACGACCAATCCACGCCCGTGCCTTCAACGCGATGTGGAACTTCGCAAAGCTCGTACAATAACAGCCGTGAGTGCTGGAGGGATTTCAGGTTCTGCCATGGCCCCAATCCCTGGTTTGCCAGGGAGTTCTCTGGCGATCTTCGGCGCTCCAAGGCGTGGGGGTCCAAGGACGGTCGAAGACTGTCCCAAGATGGCCCGAGAGAGCCCCACAGGGCCAAGACGTTTCGAGACGGCATGATCTGTCCCTGATCCACGATACGGACAATGGCGGGATGGGCAAGAGGTCATTCGATCCGCCGCCCCCGTTGCTTGCGATTGGGTGCTTGGCGTGCCGATGTGTTCTACCCCTCCCAGAAAGTTCTCGATGGCCTCTGGCCGCATGCGCTGGTCGTCCAGAATGCACCATAAAGTGTGTCTACCTGTGGCTTTCCCGCTCAAGATGGTTTCAAGAGGGCCTCCAAGATGGCCGAAGATGGCCCGAGACGGCCCGAGAGGCTCCGATGATGTCCACAAGACGGCCCAAAAGGCCTCTAAGAGGACTCCCGCAGCCAGGCGCCTCGCTGCAGCCGGCCCCCACGCAGAGGGCACGCAGCAGGCGGCTCCCGTGCGGCGGAGAGCACGAAGCGAAGCACGGCGTGCTTCTGGGTAGTCGGGAGATCGAAGCTGGTACGAGAAGACAAGGGCGGTGCTTGGCGCTGACGGCGGTCGCGGTGCTTGGCGTGGCAGCTAGATGTGATCACTTTTTCTGGCCCTTCCACAAGGTGCACGGTGGCCTTCGGCCCAAACCGCCTGCCACCTGGGCCGACCCCAAAGTGGACAAAATCATGCTCTGTGACATCCAAGTCTGCCAATATGTCCCTGTATGGCTTTCAAGTCGGCCCAAGATGGCCCAAGTCGCCTCAAGAGGCCAACATGAGGCAACCAGGAAGCCCAAGAGGGCCTCCAAGAGGGCCCCCAAGGGGCCCTGTCCTCCTCCTCCTCCTCCTCCTGCGCTTCCTCCTCCTCCTCCTCCTCCTCCTCCTCCTCATCATCATCATCATCAGCAGCAGCAGCAGCAGCATCATCACCATCACCACCACCACCACCAGCATCAGCATCAGCATCAGCATCAGCATCAGCATCAGCATCAGCATCAGCATCAGCATCAGCATCATCATCATCATCATCATCATCATCATCATCATCATCATCATCATCATCATCATCATCATCATCATCATCATCATCATCATCATCATCATCATCATCATCATCATCATCATCATCATCATCATCATCTGTAGTGTATGTAGGTGCTGATTGTTACAAGCTGTCGATAAGTCTCAACAGGTCGCGTGGTCGTAAGGTCATTCTCCTGCTCCTCCTCCTCCTCCTCCTCCTCCTCCTCCTCCTCCTCCTCCTCCTCCTACCTCCCGCCCTTTCTCCTCCTCTTCATCCTCCTGCTCCTGCTCCTGCCCCTGCTCCTGCCCCTGCTCCTGCTCCTGCTCCTCCTCCTCCTCCTCCTCCTCCTCCTCCCAAGTCTCCACCCCGAGGGTTTCCAATGGCTTGGCCGGGCTTTGGTCCAACGTTTGGCCACATAGGCGCTTCCAGGAAGGCAGGGGGCGGCGGTGACTCGCCGCAGGTAGGCGTCTCCGATTCTGACCTGGCCCGCGATCCGAACCCCACTCCAAGCTGTTTGGCCACATAGGCGCTTCCAGGAAGGCAGGGGGCGGCGGTGACTCGCCGCAGGTAGGCGTCTCCGATTCTGACCTGGCCCGCGATCCGAACCCCACTCCAAGCTGAGCTCTGGCCCCAACGCCCACGTCGACGCCCCAGCTCTCGCGCGAAGCACCCGCGGTAACCACAGGCCCCCAGACCTGGTAACTGGTGCCCGCGCCCGCGTCAACCTGGTGCCACCCTTTGTCTTACGATGGCCCCAATTCGTCGTCTCGGGGCTCTCTTGCAGCCTGCCGAGCCGTCTTGGAGGCCCCAGGGGTCGGCTCGAGAGGCCAGAGTCACCGAGCAGCCGGACGCATTCGAACGATCTGAACATTATCGCAAGGATGTCCAGGACGGCGTCCAGCATGGCCCAGAGGGGGGGGGGGCAAGATCTCGCCCCAAGACGCCCCCCAAGCCCCAAGCTTCCAAGAGGGGTCCAGGAGGCTCCAAGACGACCCCACTGTGGGCCCCAAAGAGCAGCCTCCATCGTCTTCGCGGCCTGGTTTTCGGGCCTCGTAGGGGGTCCTGTGGAGCTGTCGAGCGGTAGCGCCTCCCCGCCACGGAGTGTTCCAGCAGCTTCAGACACCGTCGGGGGGACTCCAGCGGCTCCCATGGCCTCCAGGGGCCTCCATGGGCTTCCCGAGAGCATCTCTTCCTCCGGGGGCCCCGCCTCCCTCGGCGATGGCCCTCGCCCTTCCCCCCACCTCCCCGCGTCAGTCAGATCTCGCTCTTGCCCAGCCCCCTTCGCCCTCCTCCCCGCCTCCGCTCTCCGCCCCCCGCTGGCCGTCCCCCATGACAGCGCCCCCTGCCTGCGACGTCCCCTCCCGGCACGTTCCCTCTCCCCGCCGCCCCCTCCGTCTCCGCTCTCCGCCTCCCACGGCCGTCCCCCCCGACCGCGTGCCCCCTGCCCGCGACGTCCCCTCCCGGCACGTTCCCCCTCCCCGCCCCCCCCTCCCTCCGCCTGCCTCGGGACCCTGGCGCGGCGGCGACCTGGGGCCCGACCACTCCTTCCACCCGCCGCCGAAGAAGGCAGTACGAGGTGTGCATCGGGGGAGGGGTCGGGACTGGCCGCGCACTGAGGGGAGTTCGTCTTGGGCCGAAGCTGGGAACATATGCTGTGGAGTGTGACGAGGAGAGACAAGCTGTGGTGTGTGGCCACAGCCGCCAGCAGGAGGGGGTGGAGGGGGAGGAAAGGTAGGACCAGAGCAAGCCCAAGATGCATCATCGATGCTGCAGTACACCCTCCCGTCCCAAGTCTCCTTCTCACAAATACCTACAGACCGCCCTTCTGACTACAACAAGCGCCCCCGAAAAGACGGGCACCTCAAGCAACCGCCCCCTTCTGTATGATAGTGGCACGGGCTTGCACTGCTGATAACGGCTCTCGTAGCCCTAAGGGGCCGACCCGACCACGACTGGTTGCAATTGGTACCAAAGAGTTGAGAGCGGTCCCGTGTGGTTGCGATCGGGCACTCAGGAAGGGAAGAGGAGGGAGGGAGGAGAGAGGCATGGGGGAGGGAGGAGTGAGGGAGGAGGGAAGAGAGGAACACAACGAGGCGGCGGTGACCTTAGGCCGGAGCTTCGTCAGCTCCGCCCGCGCGTCCGCCATCGGCCCCGGCCCCGAGGCCAGCTCCTCTGAGCAATTCAGTCTGCCCCGCTCTCTCTCTCTCTCTCTCTTTCAATGTGCGTGTCTGTGCCTGTGTGTGTGCGTGTGTGTGTGTGTGTGTGTGTCTCTCTCTCTCTCTCTTTCTCTCTCTCTCTCTTTTCTCTCTCTCTCTCTCTCTTTATCTCTGTTCTCCTCTTCTGCCGCATCCAAATCCGCTCCGTCCTCATACTTCTCCTCCTCCTCCTCCCTCCTCCTCCTCGTCCTGCTCCTCCTCCTCATCCTCGTTCCCTCTCCTCCTCCTCCTCCTCCTCCTTCTCCTCTACCTCCTCCTTTCTGGCATCCTTCCCTCCTCATTCCTTCCTCCACCCTAGCTCCTTATCCCTCCTTCCTCCTCCTACCTCCTCCTTCATTATCATCGTTCCTCATCCTCCTCCTCCTCGTGATCAGTCCTCTTCCTCGCCGTCGTCGTCGTCGTCGTCGCCGCCGCCGCCGCCTTTGTCCCCATCATCGTCGTTATCGTCGCCGTCATCGTCGTCGTCGCCGCCGTCGTCGTCGTCGTCGTCGACGTCATCTTCCTCCTCCCATCCTCCTCCTCCTCCTCCTCCTCCTCCTCCTCCTCCTCCTTCCCCTCCTCCTCATCATCATCCACCTGCTCCTGCCTGCTCGTCCTCCTCCTCGTGTTCTTCCTCTCCTCCTCCACCACCATCATTTTCCCGTTATCCTGTTTCACCGCCTCCTCGTCTTCCTCCTCCTCCCCCTCCTCCTTGTCCTCCTCCTCCCCCTTGCTACGAATTCGTAACACCCCGCAGATGCGGATGAGAGTGAGGGGGCGGCGAAGACGTCGGTAGTCTGCGAGGCTCTGACGGAGCCCTCCGAAGGTGTCGTTTTTTTCGTTGAAACCATGTGGGTGGGTCAGGGTGGGGCGCGGGAGGGTCGCGGGTGGGTCGCGGGGTGAGTCGCGGGTGGGTCGCGGGCCAGGTCACGGGGCGGGACGACGCCAAACAACAACAAACAAAGCAAACTAACTAGCAAACTAACTAACAACAAACAACCACCACCACCAACAACAACAGCAACAACAACAACAACAACGACAACGACATCAACACCAACAACACCATCACCACCATCACCAGCAACAACAACCACTGCAGCAACAACAACACCTCCACCACCACCACCACCAACAACAACAATATCAGTAGCAATAACAACAGCAACAGCACCACCACCAACAATCGACCAACCAACCAACCAACCAAACGAACAACCAAACAAACAAGTAAACGAACAAACGCACAAACAACCATACAAACAACAACAGCAACAACAACAACAGCAACAACAGCAACAACAACAACAACAATCATTTTACCCGAACGCTCAGTGTTCTCCCCAGTGCCAGGGTTTTCATGCGACGCCAGCCAATACCCCCACTTCGTGGGGGGGCAATGCAAGCTCTACCAAACATCCACACGACTCTCGGGAACCACCCACACCCAGCTTCCCGCCCTATGACGTCAGGACACTTCACTTCGTGGCGCGCGGACGATCGTGGATACTACACTGGCGTGGAGTACACACCCGCAGAGGTTAATCACTTGTTTGGGCCCCGCATGTGCCCCGCATCGTGCATTTGTTGCGCATGATATGAGAGCAAGACAGAGAGAGAGAGAGAGCAAGACAGAGAGACAGAGAGAGAGAGAGAGAGAGAGCAAGACAGAGAGCCAGAGGAGAGCTACGGTGCGATTCGTGTGATTTTATGATGCGCGGTGCTAAAATTCTTAAAAACCCAATGATTTTTGGAGATTTCGGCGTGCGCGCGCGAAGAAAAAACGAATGTGTCCCGCATGGTATTATTTGACAGGGATGATGGCCCTGGCAGGTGCGCAAACGTTGTCGCAGAAGTTCGAAAAAGTTGCTCGCAAAAGCCCGTTTGACAGAATTGTTTAAAAAGTGTTGGTTTTCCTACGAATCCGCAAGAGCGCGCGGAAGAACATTTTGACAATTTTTTCTTAAAAAACCATTGGGTTTTTGATGTTTTTATGTTAAAATCGCTACGAAACCTAAGGTTTTGGAAGGATTTCGTCTTGCGCGCACGAATGTCCACTTTACCTTATTTTTTGCAAGGGATTCTTGCAATTTGATCAAGTAAGAACAAGAATTTTCATTTTATAGTGTTTTTTGCAAGGGAAAACGGAGTACAACAAAACAACCGGATCCGGTAATAATTCACTTTTCTGAAGCTTTCGCTAAAAAATGATGAAAATGTAGCTGCGGCCTAGGTTTTGGAGGGGGGTCGCGCACCAGGGGTCCCAACAATAATTATTCTTTAGAAGTAATAATGTTCAACAACAACAGCAACAGCACCGGCAACAACACCACCAACAACAACAGCAACACTCAATTTAAGACTGTTCGCACTTACAGGCACGTGTGTCTTGAATTCTATATACTCCAGCCCTCGATATCCGCCCACTTCGTCTTCGATCGCACCCACTTCCGGGAGGAATATCTTCCTTGTCGGCCACTGTCTGAAGTGTGAAGAACTCTCGAGCGAGAGCGCCGTTCCTGAGTTCGGGAGCTTCCCCGGCCAGGGGCTCTCGGAATACACATGGAGAAATCCGCCGATCCGGCGTGAGTTTCTGAGAGCGTGGACTTGAACTCGCTCAAGCTTCGAGATGCAAGGGGGGGGGGGGGGGACGCCACTTCCGACGCATTGAATGCTCGGGGGCAGGGGGGCCCGCAGGCCCCCAAGAAGCCCCGAAAGGCTCTGGAAGGGGGGGGCGCCATTCCCGGAATCTATGGGCAGTTTCCAACGGGTTGAATGGCGCGTCCGCTCGGCGCTTCCCCTGCGATGAATTCCGCGGGCACGGAAATCGAGCCCGCAGAGTTTTTGGGCAGTTTCCACAAGTTCTACTTGCGCGCTCGCTCGGCGCTTCCGCTGCGGCGAATTCCGCGGGCACGACAATCGAGCCCGCGGAATTGCTGGGCAACTTCCAAGGGGCCGAATGGCGCACTCGCTCGGCGCTTCCTCTGCGGTAAGTTCCGCGGCCACGAATATTGAGCCCGCGAAATTGCTGGGCAACTTCCAGGGCAGTTTCCACAGGGTCGAATGGCGCGGTCGCCCAGCGATTCCCCAGCGATACGACTGGAAAGTCCTGCTCAGGGTCGTAGCAGTGAGGCCTACTACGAGTCTCAGTAGGGAGCGATGCTTAGAGTTCTCACGAGGGGTCCTAGAAACAATTCGACTTAGATTCTTGGTAAGGGGCCTTGCTAAGGAGTCCTGGTTGAGATCCTTGGCAACGGGCCTAGTAAGGAATCCCGTTGAAGAGACCACGTAGGGAGTCGGACTAAGAGTCCTCGGGTAGGGGTTCGCGCCAACAGTCCCAGTACCTAGGAAGTCCTCCTAGGAGTGCTCGTAGGGAGTCATACTCAGAGCTTGTGCAGGGACCTCGCTAGGAGTTCTCGCAAGGAGACCCAATCTTACAGAACGGGTGCTGGCATGAGTTTGCTGGCATTCAGGGGAGATGTGGCCGCGAAGGGCGGAAAATGCACGTCCGTCGCCCCGCGCGCCAGACGGCGCACGCCTGTAGGCGGCCTAGATTTATAGCTGCAGGGTGAAACTATCATACCTTCGACGTCATTTGACCAGGCAGACGTCGTGGTTTGTCAGGGGAGGAGGTGAAAAGGGAGGAGGAAGCAAAATGGGAGAAGGAGGAGGAGGAGGAGGAGGAGCATGTGGTGGAGGAGGATGTTTCCGCATCTACCACGCAGCCTCGATAGCCAGCCGAGGGAAAACTGCAGGTCCGACCTGCAAGAATTACAGGCCGCATCCCACCAGCACAGGGCCCCAAGAGGCCCTCAAGACGGTCCAAGAAAGCCCCGAATCACCGAACGATCGGTCCAAGACGCCCAAGATGGCCCCAAACAGTACTTGTGATAATGATAATAATAATTATCAACATGATAAAAATAGTAAACACCACGAATAATGAAAACACGACTACTACTACTACGACTACGACTGCGACTACGACTACTATTACTACTACTACTACTACTACTACTACTACTACTACTAGTACTACTACTATTATTACTACTACTACTACTACTACTACTACTACTACTACTACTACTACTACGACTACTACTACTACTACTACTACTACTACTACTAGAACTACTACTACTACTACTACTACTAATACTAGTAATTATACTAACATTAATATCAACAACAACAACAGTAATACGATTAATAAGAATAGTAATAACAACACTAATAAGCATCATCATCAACATCATCACAACCATCATCATCATCAACATCATCATCATCAGCATCATCATCGTCATCGTCATCATTATCATCATCATCATCATCATCATCATCACCATCATCCGGAGTACCCAAGATCGGCGGCACTGGCCGGAGGCCAGCACAATATCGAACGGGAACCCTTGTAGCCGTGTCTGGGCCTCCACCAACTAACCTGAATTATAAGAATGTGTCGAGCGAAAGCGCCACTCTTGAGTTCGGGGGCCTCTCTGGCCAGGGCTTCTGGGAAGACATCTTGAAGAAGTATCGGACGAGAGCCCTTGTCGTCGTAGTTGGGCCTCCGCCAATTTGAGTGAATCGGAAGAAAATCTGGAACGAGAGCGCCATTCCTGAGTTCGGGAGGCCTTCCTGGCCAGGGGCTCTCGGAGTAAATCGTGAGGAAGTATCGAACAGGAGCCCTTGTCGTCGTGGCTGGGCCTCCGCCAACTTGACTGACTTGCGAGGAAGTCTCGAGCGAGAGAGCCGTTCCTGAGTTCGGAGGCCTCTCTGGCCAGAATGTCTCGGGGCAAATTGCGAGGAAGTGTTGAGCCGGAGCCGTTGTCGTTGTAGCCGGGCCTCCACGGACACACATTTACAATCAAGCCCGCGCTCGAGCGGGAGCCTCGTTTTCAGAGGAGTTGCAGCAAACGTCGAGGCGAGAGCGCGGAACCGTTCCCAGAGATCAACAACAATCATTATCTAGAAATGGGTATTCAACAACAGCAACAACAACAACAATTACTAGCACGTGGGGACACACCGTTCTCACCAGTGCCAAGGTTTTCATAGGAGGCGGGCAATACCCCCACTTTGTGGGGGGGCCGGTTCAAGCTCTACCAAATTTCCAAACGACTCTTCGCCACCACCCACACCCAGCTTCCCGCCCTATGACGTTCGGACACTTCACTTCGTGGCATGCGGACGACCGTGGCTACTATTCAGGGCCCCGCGGCCGACGACGACGGCGTGCGCGCGCGAAGAAAAAACGAATGTGTCCCGCATGGTATTATTTGACAGGGATGATGGCCCTGGCAGGTGCGCAACCGTTGTTGCAGAAGTTCGAAAAAGTTGCTCGCAAAAGCCCGTTTGACAGAAATGTTTAAAAAGTGTTGGGTTTCCTACGAATCCGCAAGAGCGCGCGGGATGAAATTTTGACATTTTTTTTTTGAAAAACCATTGGTTTTTTTGATGTTTTTATGTTAAAATCGCTACGAAAACTAAGGTTTTGGAAGGATTTCGTCTTGCGCGCGCGAATGTCCACTTTACCTTATTTTTTGCAAGGGATTCTTGAAGTTTGGTTATGTTAGAACAAGAAATGTCCACTTTAGCTTATTTTTTGCAAGGGAAAACCGATCGTAACAACACAACCGGATCCGGACCAACCCGTTTTGCCTGAGACTTCCTCACGAAAATGATGAAAATGAGGCTGCGGCCTAGGCGCGGCGGGGGGGTCGTGCACCAGGGGCCCCAACAATAATTATTCTTTAGAAGTAATAATGTTCAACAACAACAACAACAACAACAGCAACAGCAACAACAGCAACAGCAACAGCAACAGCAACAGCAACAACAACTACAACTACAACTACAACTACAACTACAACTACAGCAACAACAGCAACAACAACAACAACACCAACAGCAATCATCATAAGTCTGTTCGCTCTTACTTGCCTGCATGTCAAAACGAGTTCCCCACACCCACGATACCCGCCCTATTTGTCTTCGATCACACCCCCTTTGGGGGGATTATTTCTCTTTGCGGGGGGCGGCGGGCTTAGGCAGGCGGACAATCCTTCGTGGGCGTACATGTGCCCGCCATTGGAATTGGTGTGGGCCCTGCAAAAAGATGAGGGGGGGAACGAGGGAGAGTGGGAGGAAGGGAGGGGGAGGGACGAAGGACGAGGGAAAACGCCAGGAGAGAAGGAGCGAGGAGGGGGGCGGTTGATTAGAGGCAGGGGAGGGAGAAGGGAGGAGGGAGAGGAGGGAGAGGGGATAGGGCAGAGAGGTATAAGGATGAGGGAAGGAAGGAGGGAGAGAGAAGGGAGGAGGGAGGAGGGAGAGGGGGGAGGAGCAGGAAGGTAAGAGCGTGAACGTTCGAGGAAGTCCTAGGCGAAAGCGCCGTTCTTAAAGGAAGTCTCGGGCGGGAGCCCACGACGGGCGGGCGATCCCCTGACGGGCGGGTCGGGCGGGCGGGACATTCAAGCGGGATGCCTGAGTATGGCGAGAGCGCGATTACTAAGTAAATTGTAACAGCGTCCTTGGCGCAGCGTGTTTCCTGAGCGTCGAAAGCGCGATTTCTGAATACATTGAATGGAAGTCACGGGCGAGAGCACAACTCCTGAAGTCTCTGGCGGGAGCGGGGGTCTTCACTAACTTGCGAGGAAGTGTTGATTCAATCGCGAGGAAGTCTCAAGCGGGAGCACTTTTCCGGAGTAAATTGTGAGGAAGTCTCAGATGGGAGCGGGGTCCTGACTAAGTTGCGAGGAAGTCACAGGCGGGAGCAATGAGCCGTTGTTGTTGTAATCCGGGGGGCCAGGGGCCCAGTTTGAGCACCAAGACTTTCCCTGTCAAAAAACAGGGTGCGAGCGTCGAGGGGCACACTTTGATGGAGAAAAAAAGTATGCACCAGTGAGGGGGGAATCAGCAATAATTATTCTTCAGAAATGAGAGTTCAACAACAACACCCACAACAACAGCAACAGCAACAGCAACAGCAACAGCAACAACAACAACAACAACAGCAGCAGCAACAGCAACAGCAACAGCAACAGCAACAGCAACAGCAACAGTAACAACAACTGCAACAACAGCAGAAGTAACAACAGCAACGAGAATCCGCATCGCGGCATCCCGCTTCAGCCACGCACCCAGGGACAGTGAATGACCGTTCGGCCCCCTCACTCTGATTTTGCTCCTCCTCTTCCTCCTCCTCCTCCTCCTCCACTTCTTCATCCCCCTCTACCCGCGGGGAGGAGGGAGGGGGAGGGGGAGGGGGAGGGGGAGGAGGGAGGGGGAGGGGGAGGGGTACTGTGCTGTCCTTGGACTTCGTGGTCAGAAAGTTGTCGGCCTTGCCGATCACCTTGCCGGCCTCCACGAGGGCCTTGTCCATGTCCGCTGAACATGTCTTGAAGGGCGTCACCTCCTCCAGGTACGTGGTGCCCTCGTTCCCCTTGATGGTGACGAAGCCCGCAGTGTCGCTGGACAGTACCCTGCACTCTATGCGGGTCATGCCTCCCTCGTCGGTCTTGGTGCTGGAGCAGGAGGGGGAAGGTTGAAGGCAGGAGGGAGGAGGAGGAGGAGGAGGAGGGGGCTGGGGAGAGAAGGACTAGAAGGAGAGCGAGGGGGGGAGCGAGGAGGGGGGCGAGGGGGAAGGAAGAGGATGGAGAGGAGGAGCGACCTGGCCAGGCCAGTCGCTTCTAGGACCTCGCCAATCTCTATCTTGGAGGTCGTTTTGCTCTTGGAGATCTCGAACACGTCAGTGACCGCGATCTGCTTGACGCAAGTAAACCTCCTCTTGAACATGTCCTTCCGTCTTTCTGAGGGGAGATGGGCGACGACGACGACAAAGAAAACGACGACGACGACAACGACGATGACGTAAACAACGCACGACGACGACGACAACGACGATGACGTAAACAACGCACGACGACGACGACAACGACGACGACTACGATAACGACGACGACGACGACGACGAGGCCGCAGGCTTGAGGCCAGGGGCAAGCTGAGGGGGGGCACGCACGCCCGAACGGCCGCAGGACGTGTCCTTCCAATTCTCCAGGCTGACCGCGCCCGACTTCGACGCGTCCAGGTGCCGGAAGACGGCCCTCCGCCGGTCCTGGGAGGCCCCGTGCCCCATCCGGCCCCGCGCCGTGCCTACTCCGGCACGGCCCCGCTTGGGGCGGCGAGCGAGAGGGGGGGGGGAGAATGAGAGGGCCTTCTCGGAAGGCTCGGAAGCCTCCCAGCCTTCCGAGAAATTTGCTGGGCGCCTTTCCCGACGACACAACAAAGACTTGTGAGAAGGCGCGAGGGCTTCTGAGCCCCGCCGCCTTCTGAGAAGGCCTTGTCCTTCTCACTTCCCCCCCTCGCTCGCCGCCGATCCTTCCCCAAGGGCTCCCAACTTCGCGCTTCGCGCTGCGCGAAGCGCGAAGTGCGAAGAACTTCGCGCTCTCGCGCCGCCTCCCAGGGGAGAAGAGAAGGATGAGGAATCGGAGCCGAACCGCGAAGCGCGAATAACTTCGCGCCCTCGAGGGCGCCCTTGTTCCCCACCTCCCAAATGCAGAACCAGGCGCGCATGTGTCACCGACGCCGCTCACGCAGATCACCCATCACCCCCAAGGTATGCTTTCGGGCTGTCGGGTTGCGCAAGCACGAGACCACCATAGCTGGGCAGCCGAGCACACCCGCCATCGGTGCCAAGGCGGTGTACGATACGACCCGCCACCGTGCCTGCAAGATGTCGATGTGTTTGAATGCTAAGTGCTGTCTAGGAGGGTTTCCGCCAATGTTCCAAGTACCCACCCCGTACCCACCCGCTCGCATGCACCACCGCCTCCTCGCGAGACTCACTGGCCCGCGGCACGGTGGCGGAATTTACCTCAGGCGCCTGGAGATATCAAAACCGGGGTCCCACTCAGGCTTGCGTGCTAAGATGTGTTTGTCCTACTCGAACCTCGTGCAGGCGGAAAAGCAAGTATTGGGTGCATCGTGTAACGCAGCTACCAGACGCATCAACTTTCAAATGCCATTACATAGAATGCAACGCCCATCAACATAAAGCGCACAGGAATGGGAGAGGGCACTGCTTTTCCGTCAGTCGGCGGCGAGCGAGGGGGGAAGTGAGAAGGAGAGGCCCTTCTAAGAAGGCTCGGAAGTTCCCCAGCCTCCCGAGAGGCTCTCTAAGCCTTCAACGAAGCCACAGAAGACTCCTCAGAAGGCGCTAGGGCTTCTGAGGAGCCCCGCCGCCTTCTGAGAAGGCCTTCTCCTTCTCACTTCCCCCCCATCGCTCGCCGCCGAGTTGGTGCACAAGCGCATGCCCGCCTGTGGCCGAGACTGAGGAGACGTCCCCATCGTGGCTCTTTCTTCGCCGCGGCTGCCCGCTGCAGGACCGACGCGCACCCGCAGAGCCTGCGCGACGGCGCGATCGGTCGGCCAGAGCTGTGGACTCTGAGGCATGTGGATGCCATGTCGAGCTCTGACCAGACAGACGCAGACAAGTCGAAGCATCAGGCAAGGGGCGATAATGCAGCACGCGGCTGATTTTCGTTTCCATCGCCGCTTTGTCTTACCCTCCAGCAGGGGCGTGCATGCAACAGCAGGCAGAATTGTTCGTTGAGGAGCTGACAAAAAGTGATCCAGCCAGCGTCCCATGCGTTCATCGCGGCCATGTGGCTTGCCTGTGTTCGCTCACCGAGGTCGCTTCTATGTGACGTCTGCAGCGAACAAATCGACTGTAGCATCAAACTGCGTCATGTACTGGTCTGCTTGCGGTGCTCTTCGTATCCTTGGCGTTGGATCGCATCCACAGCGCTTGTACGGTCAGTCGCCGACCGTGATCACCACCAACGCGCGAAAGACCAAAACTCTTCACTTACCTTCCTTCATCATCGACGCCCTCGGGGAGAGGGGAGGGGTACTGGGGAAAGGGACCTCTTCCTCCTCCTCGCTCCTCGTTCCTCATCCTTCTCTTCCTCCTCCTCCTTTTCCTCCTTCTCCTCCCTCCCCCTTCTCCTCCTCCTCCTCCTCCTCTTCTTCATCCTCCTCTTCCTTCTTCTCCTCCTGCTCCTCCTCCTGCTCCCCTCCTGCTCCTCCTCCTGATGTGGGAAACGCGGGGCAAGGTCGTCGCTAGGGTCCTCGTCGAAGCTCACCTCCTCCCGGCCGATTTTCTCCGGCAGGGCCGCAAGCCACGCCGAGAACGCCTCCTCGGAGGTCCCTCCGATCTGCTGGAAGAGGCCCTCCTCTGTCAGATCCTTCTCGGCCGCGTGCTCCCGAAGGACTGACGCGAGCGTGGTCGCGCCTTGGTGCAACCACCCCTCTTCATCCTCTTCGGCTCGTGCACAGTGTATCCTCCTCCTCCTCCTCCTCCTCCTCCTCCTCCTCCTCCTCCTCCTCCGTCTCGTCCTTTCCTCCATCGTGATCCTCCAGAACCCCGCGCCTACTCTCCGATGTATGCTGTTGCTTCTCCTCCTTATTCCCCTCGTGATCTCCCCCTTCCTCTTCCCTCCTCCTCCTCCTCCTCCTCCTGCTCATCCTCTTCCTACGAATCATCCTCTTTATGGTCCACTTCTCCATTCATTCTTCTCCTCCTCCTTCTCCTCCTCGCCCTCCTCCCTCAAACTCTCCCTCCTCCCATCTCTTTTCGCTCCCTGCTTCCTTCCGCGTCCATTTCCCTTCCTCGATCTACCGCTAAGATCACGCGTTCGCTGACGGTCTGTTAGCAACAAAAAATCGCCCGTCATCCCATCTCGCGGTTCCCCTTTTACCTGGTCCCTGTTCCATGCTAACTCCTCCTCCTCCTTCTCCTCCTCATCCTTCTCATCACTATCGTCCTCATCACCCTGACCATTCTCCTCCTCATCCTCATCCTCATCCTCATCCTCACCATCATCCTCATCTTTGTCATCATCCTCATTATCCTGCTCCTCCTTCTCCTCCTCCTCCTCCTCTTCCTCATCATCATCATCATCATCATCATCATCATCATCATCATCATCATCATCATCATCATCATCATCATCATCATCATCATCATCATCATTGTCACCATCGTCATCACTATCATCAACATCATGGCCATCACCATCATCGTCATCAACATCCTCATCCCTATACCCGTCCTTACCATAACCACTATCATAATCCGCATCACCAGCTCCATCCTCAGCATCGGCATCATTAGCATCCCTTTCGTCATCGTCATCCTCATCTTCATCGCCACCACCACAACGAGCACCATCGTCATCAGAACAAGACTGGCTCACACGAGTTGCAGCAGCGGCCTTGGTCCAGAGCTCGGCGGAGGGCGAAAAAGCCGATGCTCTGTGCACTGTCATGCTGGAGTCCTACCGACAGTCTGACACGTGGGCCCGACCTCGGCGAGAAGATTCCGGACACGCTTCCCGCGAAGGGCAGCACGGAATCGCTGATTTGGCCGCGCAGCCTCCAGGAGTGAAGCCTTGACCCCGCGGGTGGCGGCGGGGCTTGGGCGGCGCGCACACAGCCGGGGCTGTGGGGCGCAGCCATGCACGTGTGTGCAGATGTCCGGGATGTCCGGAGGCCTCCCCTGGTTGGGGACAGCGCGCAAGAACTGACACCTGCACAGGTTGCTAGAGGCGGCCTTCAGGAGAGCGGCGGAGAGCGAACGCCGATGCAGATGAAAGCATGGATCCGACCACAGCGAGGAGGTGACAGAAGCAATTGCCGAGCACGACTGCATGGACTCACTGATCTGGCAGAAACTCCCATACCCGCATGGCCGAGCAGGGTGGTAGCTGGGGCAGCGGATGGCAGAAGTTGAACACGACACTTGCGAAAGGAACTCTTGAGCAGGTCCGGAAGCGTGCGTCTGGCAGAGATTGCCGAACGCCTGTCATTTTGTGCAGCTGACGAAGACGAGTTGTATGTTTCTCATACATGCGAACGGATGCAGGGACACTTCGATGTTCTGCGATCCTGTACTTGTTGGAGGCTTCAGGACTTGACGAAAGAGAGAACGCATTTCACGGGCGCTTGCCTTGGCAACATTCGGCGGCGCGTTTCAAACTGGGGGGTGGGCCCCCCCCAACACTCGGCGCCGTCGATCGAATCCAGGGGGACTCCCCTCCCCCCCAAAGTCCCCCCTCCCGACACCCCCCCCTCCCAGGTGGGCGACCGGTTGTTACTGTGGCCCGATGGGTGTTAGTATGGCCTGGTGGGTGTTAGTGTGGCCCGTCGCGCGGCCGGATGGGAGTTACTGTGGCCCGCGCTGGCCGTTCAATGAAAAGTAATATGTAAGGATATCTCATGTTAGATCTGAAGAGATTCGCAACGTTGAAGGGGATGCATTCTCGCGCAGGCAAAAGAGGCCACAGTAACTCCCGACTGGAACCAACGTAGTAGTAGTAGTAGTAGTAGTAGTAGTAGTAGTAGTAGTAGTAGTAGTAGTAGTAGTAGTAGTAGTAGTAGTAGTAGTAGTAGTAGTAGTAGTAGTAGTAGTAGTAGTAGTAGTAGTAGTAGTAGTAGTAGTAGTAGTAGTAGTAGTAGTAGTAGTAGTAGTAGTAGTAGTAGTAGTAGTAGTCGTAGTCGTAGTAGTAGTAGTAGTAGTAGTAGTAGTAGTAGTAGTAGTAGTAGTAGTAGTAGTAGTAGTAGTAGTAGTAGTCGTAGTCGTAGTCGTAGTCGTAGTAGTAGTAGTGGTGGTGGTGGTGGTGGTGGTGGTGGTGGTTGTGGTGGTGGAAGTGGTGGTGGTGGTGGTTGTGGTAGTTGTACTAGTAGCAGTAATCGTAGTAGTAGTGGTAGTAGTAGTAGTAGTAGTAGTAGTAGTAGTAGTAGTAGTATCAGTAGTAGTAGTCGTAGTAGTAGTCATCGTCGTAGTCGCAGTCGTAGTCGCAGTCGTAGTAATAGTAGTAGAAGTAGTAGTAGTAGTAGTAGTAGTAGTAGTAGCAGTAGTAGTAGTAGTAGTAGTAGTAGTAGTCGTAGTAGTAGTAGTAGTCGTCGTCGTCGTCGTAGTAGTAGTAGTAGTAGTAGTAGGAAGAGTAGTCGTAGTGGTAGTCTTAGTAGCAGTAGTAGTAGTAGTAGTAGTAGTAGTAGTCCTGATGATGGTAGTACGTAGTAGGAGTAGTAGTAGCAGTAGCACTAGCAGTACTAGTAGCAGCAGTAGTAGTAGTAGTAGTAATAGTAGTAGCAGTAGTGGTAGTAGTAGTAGTAGTACTACTACTAATAGTAATACTGATAATAGTAGTAGTAGTAGTAATAGTAGTAGTAGTAGTAGTAGTAGTAGTAGTAGTAGTAGTAGTAGTAGCCGTAGTAGTCGTAGTAGTAGTAGTAGTAGTAGTAGTAGTAGAAGTAGAAGTTGTACTAGTAGTCGTCGGCGTAGTAGTTGTAGTAGTAACAATAATAGCAGTAGTGGTCGCAGTAGTACATCTTTGTAGTAGCAGTAGCTGTAGCAGTAACAGTGGGAGTAGTAGTAGTAAAAATAATAGTAGTGGCTTGTAGTAGCACTACTACTACTAGTAAAACTAGTTGTTGTAGTGGTAGTTGTAGGCGTAGTAGAAATACAAGTGGTAGTCGTAGTAATAGTAGTAGAAGTAGTAGTAGTAGTAGCAGTAGTAGTAGTAGTAGGAGTAGTCGTAATAATACGAGCAGTCGTAGTTGTAGTAATAGTACTAGTACCAATGGAAAAAAGGTAGTAGTAGAAGTAGTAGTAGTAGTCGTAGTAGTAATCTTAGTAGTAGTAGTAGTAGTAGTAGTAGTAGTAGTAGTAGTAGTAGTAGTAGTACTAGTAGTAGTAGTAGTAGTAGTAGTAGTAGTAGTCGTAGTAGTAGTAGTAGTAGTAGTAGTAGTAGTAGTAGTAGTAGTCCCCCCCAAGGCTCTGGGGAGCCTGTGGGCGGGGGGGCTACCGCTGTCCTCAAACCGCGGGTGACAGCCACCCTTCCTTTTCTCGCGCCCTCACTGTTACGAACACTCTTCCTCGCCCTGAAGGGACGTCCTGGGATGGCGGCGGCCGCTGGCGGCGCTGCGGGCGCAGGTGCGGGGGCTCGAGTGGCTGGGAGTAACGCCGCTGCGGCTCGAGGCGAAGGCGGAGTGCTGGCAGCTGCGGGAGGCAGCGGAGGTGCTGGGGTCGCCCCGTGCGCCTCCGCTGCCGCCCCCGCGTCGGCAGGCGCGAACGCAACCGACACCCCAGTGGATGGCAACATCGACGTCCACATGCGTGACAACGAGGGCCAGCCAGCACAGAGGCGGCGCCGCATGACGGGCGGACGCATCACCCGTTGGTGCGTCGCCGCCCAGGCGGCCCGTGGCAAGAAGGCTCACTGCACGCGCTGCATGGGAGGTTTCGAGGCGGGCGAGTGGCGCGTGGCAGGCGTCGCGACACCACCCGCGGGGTCCCAGGCGCACGCGGGCAGGAAGTGGTTCCACATGGCCTGCGTCGATGGCCCCCTACCACCAGCTACGGCGATGGTGGGCTTCACTCAACTCCTTGAGGGCGACAGGGATCGCCTCGCGACAGCCCTGGAGGCCCGAGGAGGCCCCATCCGGCCCCTGCTGGAAACAGTCGAAGGCCAGGCCCCCGCCCCTCCCACCCAGGGAGATGGCGCGGCAGGGGGCACTGGGGCAGCCCCGAGGCCCCCTGCCGCCGCCGCGCCAGGGGCGTACGGCCCAGGCGCGCGGGGGACTCCCCTGGGCGCGGCCGAAGCAGCGGTGCCGACCACGGCTGACATCCTACAACCGCCACTCGACGTTCCTGCGGAAGCAGGCGATGATGGCGGACTCGAGACAGGCGTCTACGACGACTACCTGGGCGACCAGGTGACGAGCGAGGGCGCGTACCACGAGGTGGGCTTCGTCAACCTGGACTGGTGGGGCGCCATCGGGTGGGACCGCATCCTGCTCCAAGGGGCGCCCACCACAGCCATGATCCCCGACAGCATGGCGGCAGCCGCCAGCCACGTGAAGGTGCGGCTGTGCTTGGCCATTGAGCAGGCCCGCCAGGGCAACGACGCTCAGACGTCGAGCACGTTGACGAGGCTGTGGAAGGTGTTCCTTTCGCTGGACGGATTGCTGTTCAGCGAAAATGCGACCCCGACCCCGACGACACGGCGTGAGCGTCTCCAGGAGCGCCTGCGGTGGATCCAGGACGGCCAGTGGGATGTCGCCTGGCTTTCCATGGAGGACCAGACGCGCACCACGGTTACCACGAGGGGCCGCGATGATCACGTCGCAGCCCGTGTACGCCGTGTCACCGAGCTCGCACGAGCGGGAGAGATGTATCGGGCGGCGGCGGCAGTGTGGCCCCAGGGGGGCATGGCGGACGCAGCGGCG